ATACCACTTTTGGACTTAATCCTTGTTTCGATGTGATGGGTCACATAGTTGTGTAGCAACACCAACCTACTAAACTTGTACTTGCACTGAACCTGTGATCCAGCTGCAACATTTGTATTCCACAACTAGAATACACCCAGTTCTTTCACTGTGTTTGGGTTTATTCATTGTCACAGTGAGACAACACTACCACAAAGAYTTCAAACAGGACACCACGTGGACTGTGTTTACCTGTAGTCCTGGTGGACCTGTTGGTCCCACCAGCCCTTGTTTTCCTGCATCACCCTGCAGATTGAAATTAGAATGTTACTCACAGCTTTCAATCTATTTGACAGCATCCATTCACCTAAAATGTGCAACAAMTAAACAAACAAAACAACAAACTATAGMGTTGATGAGTAAAAATCAAACCTACCGTGCTCCCTTTCTCTCCAGGTTTTCCATCAGCKCCATCTTTTCCAGGGTCCCCCTTTGTGAACAAAAAAAGAGGGGGTGAGTTTGTAAAAAATAATCCAAACAAAATCTAATCAGGCTAATAATGTGTTCGTGCATCTCACATTTTTCCCAGGAAGTCCAACGGGCCCTGCAGGTCCTGTAGTGCCAGTCTCACCCTAAACCCACAACAGGAATGACTCGTGTTGATTCACAATTATATTCAGTGTGCATTGCCAATGCAATGCACACTATTGTTTTCCTGTTTCTCTTTAATATTATTCAACTTATTCCGTCTTCTTCCACGTCGCCACGCCACTCCTCTTGCATACTTTGTCCTACAGCTGCCATTGTAATTTCTATCTGTAAAGGTCCTATGCCAAATGATTGCTATGCCTTCTGGTGCCTGTACAACTTGGACTCAACTTGGTACTGCTTCATACTTTAATAATATTTAATCTCAATAGTTCAGTGTTAACAATAATAATATGATTGTATTTTGATGTTTTACTATAATATTGTCTTAATACTGCTCTATTGTTGTAATATTATGCATTTTTGTGTCAATAATTGTATTGGCAATGTGGCCTCTTTCTGCACACATACAAACCAACCCCTGCCACCATCTTCTGACACAGCTGCATTGGTCTAATGGTCTATGTCATGGACTGTCATGTGGGAGATCAGAGTTCAAAACCCAGCTAATGCAACTTTAACAAAAAATCTCCACCAACTTCATATTGTCACACAATTACCTTAATTACAAACACCTGCTGAAGTGACAGGCACAATCTGGTATAGAAAACACATTTGAACTTGGTCAAAGTTCCTTCTGCAAGTCCAATGCTACATGCTACATGGCAATGCACACTTGTTTTTACATCGTAAAAACCCATGTCTAGTTTTCTTTTGTATCTTCAAACATCAAAGCTCAAGATTGGAATAAAAATGTTGTAAGTGCAACAATTTGAGAAAAAGGACATTAAATATGAGAGTAATTAAATTACAAAAACGTAAAAAGAAACAATCAACCCTCCCCCCCAAAAAAAGAAAAAGAAAAGAAAAAACAACAAATGGACGTCTGTTCTAGTTTATCTATCACAAGTCCAGCAGTTTTACTTTAGATTTTTTTAATTGACAATGTACTGGATTACTGAGAATCTACACCAGCRTAATACAATTACCTTTTCTCCAGGGGGTCCTACTACTCCCTGCTTTCCTGGCAGCCCCTAAGAACAACATGTCAAAGAAGTCAAAAACCAACTTTATTTATACAGCACATTTAAAACAGCTGCTGTTGGCCCAAGTGCTTCACATGTTACAACTAACAGAAAGACAAAATAAAATGCAAAATGCAAATGCACGATTTGTGTTAAAGGACAAAACTACAAGACAGGCAGGGCTCTCCATATCAATGTGATGTCTTTACCGCAGGGGAGTGGTTTGTCAGAAAGAAAAATGTATAAAACGGTACTATTGTTTTGGTTTGGTACCAAAAACCTCATGCCTGAAAAAAGTCCATTTTTTTTCCAGCTGAACATTTTGAATGACTTTATTTTCTGCAAAATGAAAGACCACAAACTGAAAGAAGAGGTCCTTGTCACAAAACAGCTGAAATGAGATCCCTTCATAGGGCAGCCATGCTCAGGGTGGATTCATACTCTRTCAGATGTGGTTGTGAGACATTCTTTGTTGCACAGACAACTTATACTTTAAAGAGAAACAGCAACATGAACATCTGATAAACACTCTCTCTGTCCTCATGYAAGAAGGTAACAGTAATCATAGCTGACTGGATGGATGGATCACACAGAATTTCAGTTGTACTGAGTTATGTAAGATGTTTACTTTAACTGTGGAAGTTTTAGAGTGTGATGTTTGTGTTTCGGTTTCATTGATTGTTTTCTTGGCTATTGTATTTGTTTCATAAATTTGCTTTATAAAGTGGTATTATTTTGCTCAGGACAACAGGTGAAATTTAGTTATTGTACTAACAGAAGTACATTCATAGTGTTTTGAAAACTGATTAAACTGCACTGTCTTTTAAAATGAATAAATGAAAAAAATGGATAGTTGGATGAACCAGGCAAAAAGATGTAAACAACATCTGTAACTAAATTAACTCTTAAAAGTCACTCAGAAAATKATCCAACTGAACGATTGTTACGGTGAAAGAAAATGAAGTTGGACTTACTGGAATMCCAACAATCCCTCTAACACCGACAGCTCCTGGTGTACCAGATTCTCCCTGTGGATTAAAATCATAGATTATATAAATATGTTATTTATKTTCAGATAGACACATTATGAGCATTATATTACTGTTTTTATTAAATAATTATGAACATTAAGTGCAGCGTTATTATCAGTATTTTACATTCACGTTGCTAATTGCATGGATTTGAATAGAGCTTAATGCCCTGCTGACAAAATGTGGAACAGCCATAGTTTTTTTAGGTGTCCAAGCCCACGAAGCGGCTTGGACACCTAAACAGCTCAAAGCGCAGGGAATTTAGTGAAGATTTTACCATGATAGGAAATATAGCTTACGAGTACAGAGAAGATAAATAATGAGACATGTCCACTTATAGGGGGCGCTATATTAGCATTTGGACGTCTACCTTCTAAACCATAAATCTCCAATTTTTTTTGGCTTATAGCAACACAGTCCCTGGACACCAATAAGTCTTCTGAGTTCTGAGTCTCTGAGTCTTCTTTAAGCTGGCGATGCCTCAGGATGCCCTCAGGGCACTGTGCTGAACCTTGGGTTTGCTGAGTTGTTTATATATACATATAATGTGTATATACAAATTGTTGCTCGGGAAGGAGTTGATGTACTTTGTTATTTGTATATTATTACTG